CAACAAATGATATATCAAATCAATGTGGAATTTAACGTAGAATAAGAATATTTTACTGTATTTAATATTAAATTAATATTTACTGATATAAATTAATATTAAACTACCAAATAATCCAATATTGAACATATTTATTTAAAAATCAACTACATGACCATTGGTTAAAAATATAATAACTTCTCAACCCCCATCCCACCCAAACCTCCAAAAACCCCCCGTATTTTCCCGTCAGCGAAAATCGCACCTCATCGCCGTCCGTCCCCAAACTGTCGTTTTCGGCCCGGGGATCGGGCCGATCACGAGCGCCATCATCGGCGTTGGGCCGATCTTCACCAGTAGGCTTTTCTACATCCACCGGGGCCCTGGTGGCAGACCCCGAATGGACAGAAACTGTTTGGCCATAATTTCGCTCCATTTCAGCAGATATGAAAAGGCAAATTAATAATTATAATTTTTTAAAATTATTAATTTGCCTTTTCATATCATCTGCTGACATGAAGTGTTTTAAATATATTTTCACATTTTTCGTCCATAAATAACGTTTATATCAAGAAAAATACATTTCTATAAAAATTATTTTTTAATTTAATATTAATACTTTAAAATATTATTTAAATATTAAATTGAGTAAAATATTTTTATTCTACGTTAAATTCCACATTGATTTCATATATCACATGTTGGAATTATTTTCCGAAAATATTCCCGACAAAAGTGGTCACTGCGGCCGAACCCAAGGTCACAGGACAATATAAGTTACATATTCGGACTCAGGGTTAAAAGGTCTATGGGAATCAATCATAATATCGCGGTTGCCAGCTTAGGCAACTTAACATACACTTTCGACATTATTCTTTGAGTTATTTATAAAATTAATAAAATGCAGACAAAAGTGTATTATTTATTGCCGTTTATACCAATGGACCTCAACTTTTGCATTCTTTGTCAACAAATTAAATTACAGTTTAAATTACCATTTATTATATTGTATATGCTTAAACAATTTTATCGTTAAACCATAATTTTCTGACATTTTAGATTTGAAAATTAATTTTTTAAACTTCGGGAAAACTTTTCAAAACATCGATCATTGGTATCGCAAACGATTTGGCCCTGCGTTGAGATTTTAACTTTTTCGGAGGTTTTTCTACACAAAGTTAAATTAGTGTACATTATAAGTTATATTTGAAATATTATATAAATAAACTCACCTAGCTTTTCGCACTTATCGGAACCCTCGGTATAATCCGAGCAAAACATGTCTATAATATTGCCAGTCATTGACCTAATAAATCCCAGCATACTATCCACGGCAATAGGCGTACACTTTTTGACACCCTGTACATCGCGCGGTATGCACTCTAATATCTCATAAAATGAGCTATGTACATAATAAAAAAATGTAATTACAATGATATAGCTAATAAAACATTTACTAATAATTGACTTACCAACATAACCATGGCATTTTCTTTTTATCGTCCTGAGAATTTTGTATACCCAGGTACTTATCGATCAATTTTGTGTAACATTTATTCACCTATAAATTAAATGTCATTATTATACATATTTTAATAATGTTTATTTTCACTGGTTTGATATTTACCTGGGTATTTGCCGCGTTACTACAAGCACCCGCCTTAAGTAGGTTGTCCAGTTGCCTAGTTTTCTTTTTACAAAATTGTTTAACCGCCCCTTTTACTGTATATAATAGCACTCCGGCAATTTGTTTGGGCGCATTATTCATACATTTATCCCGGTGCTTGTCGATATCACCTATCAACTTTTCATTTTGGCTACGTGTTACAAAAAAACATTACTTTGTAAAAGTTTTTTATTGGACACATTGAATTAATTAAAATACAATAACCTTGTTTAATATACAATAAAAACACAATACTTTGTAATGCTATAGAAATCCTAGTTTTATATATAATAATAAGTGAGTATTATTTGGTTACTATAGAGTAAAATAATAATTTATCATTAGCATTGGTAAACAATATAGTAATTTCATAATAGTCGCAGTTATAGAAATATCTGAAATTTTATTTAAAATATTTACAGTTTAAATTATATAATTGATCATTATAAATTAAAATATACAGTATAATACTCACTCGCAATACTTTTTCAATTCCGAGCCCTTATTTTCCGGGAAACGTCGCCCGGAATTGCCAATAGTTAGCAGTTTAGCCACATTTGAGTCAAACTTTTTTAGACTACTCGGCGGACATACATCTGCACTAAATGCACTGAGAATAATGTTAGAAAACAAATATAAAATACCCGGGTAATTCATAAAAAATGTTGACATTGCTGTCATAAATCGCTAGGAATGAATGTTTTAGTGAAATGGAAAATTTTATTTTTAACTATGTGCCCAAAACGAGTTAGTAATTTATAGTAGATTGGTATCATAAAATGTAAATTACTTATATAGACCTTGAATATAATTATTGTTTCCCAATTAGTGAAAGGTTAGTGAATAACAATATTATGTATTTTATTTTTGATGATTTTTATATATTAAACATACACCTTTAATACTTATTAATAATTATATTTAAATAGTTTACATTAAATTTTATAAGTTGCAATATTTAAATAGCAGCTATTAGCACAATAGCAAATTGATTATTATAAAATAGCAGCTATAGTTAACTCCGGACCTCGACTTTCCGGGTAACGGCGCCCGGAGTTGTCAATTGCTATGAGTTTAGCCACATTTGCGTCAAACATTTGTAGATAATCTGGTGGACATAATTCAGGACTAAAGGCGTATAAAATACGATTAGCCAGTACAATTAAATTAACAAAATAACTTTTAAACCACATTATGTTAAAATAAAAATGAGAAAAAATATTATATTTAAAAAAGATTTAATAGTAATTTTTAATAATAAATAATTGTTATTATTAAATTCAATTACTACAATTTTTTGATACATAAATATCATACAATTTGATTATGCAAGTAAGTTCTAAATAATTTAAAAATAGCATAATATTATTAAACAATATCAACCAAAATAATTAGATATTTAAAACTGTAATTATAGCTTTAAAATTATTTAATCATAGTTAAAATTATGCATTTTAATGATTTTGGTAAATTGATTCTTATATATTTATTTTGAAATTTTAGAAATTAATTTATATGTTTAGAATTATTACAAAAAATTAGTTACCCATACAGTAGATTTAAAATATTTAAAAATAATAATTATTTTTAAGAAACATAAATTAAAAATAATACCCATGCTAATTAATAATTAGTAATTACACTGAATTATACTGTGTAACTATATTTATTTACGCAATTTAGACCTCGGGAAAACTTCTCAACACATCAATCATAGGCAACGCAAACGATTTAGTCCTTCGTTGAGATTTTAGCTTTTTTGGCGGTTTATCTATATTTATGAAACACATTATATAATGTAATTACTAAGGTAACTATAAGATATTAATAAATTCATTTACCTAGACTATCGCACTTGTCTGAACCCTCGGTATATTCACCGCAAAACACATCTACAGTATTCCCAGTGATAGACCGTACTAACCCTAGCATACTGTCCACTGCAATGGGCGTACATTGGGGGACACCCTGTAGTGCATTTGGTATGCAACCAATCATTTCGTATAAAGCACTTTGAATATTTACATAAAAATTGACCGCGATAAAATAAAACAAATATCAGTTTTGTATTTGTAATTACTAAATACTAATTATCTATACTTACCAACATAGCCAAGGTAGTTTCTTTTTATCATCTCGGGAGTTTTGTATACCGAGTACTTTGTCCACCATTTGTGTGTAACATTTATTCATCTAGTAAATTTGTATCTTGTTAATTGTGTTTAGTATTATTTTTTAAACATACCTGGTTATTCCCAGCGTTACCACACGCACCGGCCTTAAGTAGGTTGTCCAGTTGTTTATTGTCCCTTTTACAAAATTGTCTAATTGTACTCTTGCCCGTGTATAATAATATCCCGGTGATTTGCTTGGGCATGTTGTCCATACATTGATTGCGATACTTTTCGATATCACCTAGCAGCCTTTCATTTTGTCTAATTAGGCAATTAAAAGGTAGCATGCAAAATTTAAATAATAATAAAGTTTTCATAAACATAATAATTAATTTTCAAAATAAAAATTGATTTTTATAAAAATTGTTTTAATAAGTAAATGAGCAGGCTAATTATATTAATAACTTGTATGCTATACTCACACGCAATACTTTTTCAACTCAGAGCCCCTACTATCGGGGAAACGTCGCCCGGAATTGCCAATTGTTATCAGTTTAGCTATATTTGAGTCAAACTTTTTTAAACCTCCCGGTGCACATAATTCAGCACTAAATATTAATACCACATGAACTAATAATAAAATAAAAACAACTAGGTAATATTTCAAATATGTAGCCATGGTTCTTAAAGTAAACTATAAGTAGCACTGTTTTTGTCAGACCTTAAATAACTTATGATTTTTAAAAATAAGTATTACCTATGAGTTGTTACATGTTTATTATGCTGTTGCAATTTTTTCTGTAACAAATTAATGTTTTCAAATTGGACCTTGAGTTTTACTATCACTATATTTAACCTATCATTAATATGTTAAATTATGGAAAACTTTATTTGGAAAATGAAATCATTTTGTGCGTGTATAAATTAAAATTTTTGTAGATTCACTAACCCTCACCATTAGTACATTAATGTTGCATTCAATTTTTAGATTACCATTATAAGTACCAACAGGGTTCAAATATATCATTTTATTACATATAACATTTGTAAAAATTATTTAAAAATAATAATATTATTTTATATTATAATTAATCTCATTATTTAAACTGTAATCTATTATTATGAAAAAGAAAATGTAACAATGTTAATAATTCTGAATTTTTTACTTGGTTAGTTTTTTGAAAATCTATTGAAAACCAAATACTGTATTGTTTTTGCTATTATCTTTACTTGATTAATTTATTACATAGGACTTACAAAAGTTCTTGTACAGTTGTCTACACCCTGAACATTTAGATTCATACAGATTTAGATTTAGTTACAACATTTAATAAAATTATACTTAAAACATTAGTTACAACATAGTGTATCTAATTATAGCATTATTTTAGTACGCTTGTCGCACTTAAAATAATTATAATTTATAATGACATAGTTAATATAAATTAAAATCATTTTACCCGTGAAAATATACTTAATTTATGTCACATGTCTATAATTAACACGTGACATAGTGAATTATGATAAAGTAAACTTAGATTTATTAAGTTAAGTAGATTGTGTAAAGATTGAATTAGTTAAAATGCGTTTATTTATACAATTATATAAATTAATAAATTTTGAAATTTTGAAGCAAGTGCTTTTTAATAAAAAGTAATTTAAATGTTAAATAATATGCTTAAATAATCCTCAATAGCATTTGTATTGTATTAAATAAACTGTAGATTATTTTGATATTATAATTATAATTAATTGATTAAAAAAAACATTTTTAACATTGAGAATATGTTTGATCACAACATTTCTAAAATTTAATATTGCTTTATAATACAATACTAACTTTTATATACAGGATGTTTGTTATTTGTATATTTTATTAAAAAAATTATTTTAAATAAGTAGAATATTTTAATTTACAATTATATTATGTTTCAATAATGTAAACTTGGAGATTTATACAAACTGTAATATTATTTTAATACAAATGCTTAATTTACGAATATTGTAGTTATTAAATAAATGGCTAAAGAAATACTGTTTAACATTACATTTTGATAATTAATTCAAAATAATGTCATTTTTTTTGTTAAACTTCTGGAAAGGAGTCCAACACTTGTATTAAGGGAACGGCAAACGATTTGGTCCTCTTATCCGACTTACGTTTCTTAGGCGGGGGTTCTGTATGTGAGTGGACAGGCATTAGTCATATTATATAAGTAATAGTACATTGTTATTTTAAGTTGCAAAAATTAATTTTACAAAGGTGGGACTGACTTTTTGGCACACCGGGCACACTGGGCACACTCG